CCCCATGTGTGTGTGTGTGTGTACACATACTCACCTAATTGTGGTTGCAGGGGTTGAGTCATAGCTCCTGGCCCTGCCTCTTTACTGGTTGCTACTAGGTCCACTCTCTCCCTGCTCCATGTACTGTATCATACCTCTTCAGGGGGTCACAACTGGAAGATGAAGACTCAGATGAGTCACAGGGATGTTAGGAAGTACTTCCTTAGTCAGAGTTGTCAGGAAGTGGAACAATCTGGAGAGTGATGTAGTGGAGGCATGATTCATACACAGCATTAACCCTTAAACTGTCCAAACGTAGATCTACGTTCACTTGCATAGCGCTCCGAGCGTAGATCTACGTTTTTTTTACATAAGAAAGCATGTAAAATCGAATGTGGATCTATGTTCGAAGCGCTACACGAGTGAACGTAGATCTACATTTGGACAGTTTAAGGGTTAATGCTGTGTATGGATCCTGCCTCCACTACATCACTCTCCAGACTGTTCCACTTCCTGACAACTCTGACTGAGAAAGTACTTCCTAACATCCCTGTGACTCATCTGAGTCTTCATCTTCCAGTTGTGACCCCTTGTTACTATGTCTCATCTCTGAAACATCCTGTCCCTATCCACCTTGTCAATTCCTCTCAGTATTTTATATGTTGTTATCATGTCCCTCCCCTATTCCTCCTGTCCTCCAGTGTTGTCAGGTTGAGTTCCCTTAACCTCTCCTCTTGTGTGTGTGTGTGTGTGTGTGTGTGTACTCACCTAGTTGTACTCACCTAGTTGAGGTTGCGGGGGTCGAGTCCGAGCTCCTGGCCCCGCCTCTTCACTGATCGCTACTAGGTCACTCTCCCTGAGCCGTGAGCTTTATCATACCTCTGCTTAAAGCTATGTATGGATCCTGCCTCCACTACATCGCTTCCCAAACTATTCCACTTACTGACTACTCTGTGGCTGAAGAAATACTTCCTAACATCCCTGTGATTCATCTGTGTCTTCAGCTTCCAACTGTGTCCCCTTGTTACTGTGTCAATCTCTGTCTGTGTGTGTGTGTGTGTGTGTGTGTGTGTGTGTGTGTGTGTGTGTGTGTGTGTGTGTGTGTGTGTGTGTGTGTGTGTGTGTGTGGTGTGGTGTGTGTACTCGCCTAATTGTACTCACTTAATTGTGGTTGCAGAGATCCAGTGTGTGTGTGCATGCATCTCTATCAATAAATAATTTTTCCCAATGATGCCATTACAATAAGTTATGAGTTCCAGGATTTATATAGTGCTTTTCTTTGGAATGGAGTTTGAGTGCTGCAAATTTTTGTAGAAAGTGTGAAGAATTTTTTTTTTTTTGTCTGTTTGGTAGGAACTTCGTCGTCGTGTGGTTATGGCAGCGAGGAGAAGAACTTGGCTCATATTGTTGGACTGTGAGACAGCTCCTGAGAAGTTCTCTTATGTTCAGTCTGCTCTCTTGACTCTGCCTTCAACATTAACTACACCAACAGTTTTCTGTGTTGTTACACTCAAAAACCAGAGTTTAATGAAGTGTCGGAATGCTATTGTTGGTAAGCTCTTTTTATCAGTGCTCTAGTTTATATAATTGTAACAATTTTTTATCCTGATCTGATAAATTTTGGCATCTAAATCTGCATAAAAAAGTCAATTTTCTTTGCAACACTCATTGAAATTATATTACTGCATTTCAAGAAGGTATTAAATTAATTTTTAATGCAGTACAGTACTATACACTAAAAAAAAGTTCTAATTCAGAAAAACTCTTTGAAACAAACTCTCTTAAATATTTGTTGTAATACTTTTTTTATGTATTGTATAAAGAACAGCTTTGTATAAAAAATATTCTTATGAGCATCTCTTTCCTTATAGTTGTATAACAGTGATGAAGCTGATAACTGCTATATAACCCAATTTCATCTTTGATTTAGACATTGATTTATGAATTGTCAGCCCAGGTTGAGAAACCTGTCAGCCTTGCCTCAAGTCTCTCTGCCTACCTGCCTATCGCCTATACTCGACTACAAACACACATGAAGGCATCCCATTTGTTAAGTGCTTACACCCAGGCAGCTGTTCTGACCACTGCCTATATCTATGCTGTACTACATGTAAGTAACCATTGTCTATATCTATGCTGTACTACATGCAAGTAATTACTGTCTTCATCTATGCTGTACTACATGTAAGTTACCCTTCTTAAGTTTTTTGTTTTTTTGTTTTTTTTAAAAAGTCGGCTGTTTCCCACCAAGGCAGGGTGACCCAAAAAGAAAGAAAATCCCCAAAAAGAAAATACTTTCATCATTCAACACTTTCACCTCACACACATAATCACTGTTTTTGCAGAGGTGCTCAGAACACAACAGTTTAGAAGCATATACATATACGTATAAATTAAATATATCAAAAGTAAATATTTATTTGCAAAATTAGAGAGGCTGGGGACAATATAGGCATCATGTACATAGTAACATTATACTAGGCCTATACTTTGCACAGTATTTTGGGCAAAATCTAATGTAATAGTTTTAGTTATATCTAATACTACTTTCTTCTTTCTTTCAACACACTGGCCGTATCCCACTGAAGCAGGATGGCCCAAAAAGAAAAACAAAATTTTCTCTTTCTAAATTTAGTAATGTATTCAGAAGGGGTTGGTATCCCCTTGCTCCTGGCAAGGCTTATGGAGGAAGAATTCTGTTCCACTTCCCCATGGGGTTATATTTAATATCCTCAGTGATATATAAGTGGGTTATAGTAAGCGTATATGCACCTGGAGAAGAGAGAAGTGTAGACGAGAGAGATTTTGGGAAATGTTGAGTGAATGCGTGGGGAGTTTTGAATCAAGTGTAAGAGTACTTGTGGTTGGGGATTTCAATGCTAAAGTGGTTAAAAATGTTGTGGAGGGAGGAGTAGATAAATTTGGGGTGCCAGGGGTAAATGAAAATGGGGAGCCTTTAATTGAGCTATGCATAGAAAAAGGTTTGGTAATAAGTAATACATATTTTATGAAAAAGAGGATAAATAAATATACAAGGTATGATATAACACATAATGAAAGTAGTTTATTAGATTATATATTGGTGGATAAAAGGTAGATGGGTAGGCTCCAGGATGTACACGTTTATAGAGGGGCAACTGATATATCGGATCATTATTTAGTGTAGCTACAGTTAGAGTAAGAGGTAGATGGGACAAGAGGAAAATGACAACAACAAGTAAGAGGGAGGTGAAAGTGTATAAACTAAGGGAGGAGGAAATTCGGGTGAGATATAAGCAACTATTGGCAGAAAGGTGGGATAGTGCAAGTATGAGAAGTGGGGGGGGTTGAAGAGGGTTGGAATAGTTTAAAAATGCAGTATTAGAATGTGGGGCAGAAGTTTTTGGTTATAGGGGGGGTGCAGGAGGAAAGAGGAGTGATTGGTGGAATGATGAAGTAAAGGTGTGATAAAAGAGAAAAAGGTGCTTACGAGAGGTTTTTAAAAAGCAGAAGTTTTATACAAAGAGTAGAGTATATGGAGAGTAAAAGAAAGGTGAAGAGAGTGGGAGAAAGTGAAAAAGGGGAGAGCAGATGATAGAGTGGGAGAGGCAATGTCAAGAAATTTTAATGAAAATAAGAAAAAATTTTGGAGCGAGTTAAACAAGTTAAGAAAGCCTAGGGAACGAATGGATATGTCAGTTAAAAACAGAGTAGGGGAGTTAGTAGATGGGGAGACGGAGGTATTGGTTAGATGGTGAGAATATTTTGAGGAACTTTTAAATGTCAACGAAGAAAAGGAGGCGGTAATTTCCTGCACTGGCTAGGGAGGTATACCATCTTGTAGGAGTGAAGAAGAGCAGGATGCGAGTGTGGGGGAGGTGCGTGAGGCAATACGTAGAATGAAAGGAGGTGGCCTGGTGGCTAAAGCTCCCGCTTCACACACGGAGGGCCCGGGTTCGATTCCCAGCGGGTGGAAACATTTCGACACGTTTCCTTACACCTGTTGTCCTGTTCACCTAGCAGCAAATAGGTACCTGGGTATTAGTCGACTGGTGTGGGTCGCATCCTGGGGGACAAGATTAAGGACCCCAATGGAAATAAGTTAGACAGTCCTCGATGACGCACTGACTTTCTTGGGTTATCCTGGGTGGCTAGCCCTCCGGGGTTAAAAATCCGAAAGAAATCTTATCTTATCTTATCTTATCTTAAGCAGCTGGAACTGATGGGATCATGACAGAAATGTTAAAAACAGGGGTGATATAGTGTTGGAGTGGTTGGTATTTTTGTTTAATAAATGTTTGAAAGAGGGGAAGGTACCTAGGGATTGGCAGAGAACATGTATAGTCCCTTTATATAAAGGGAAGGGGGACAAAAGAGATTGTAAAAATTATAGAGGAATAAGTTTACTGAGTATACCAGGAAAAGTGTACGGTAGGGTTATTATTGAAAGAATTTAGAGGCAAGACAAAATGTAGGATTGCAGATGAGAAAGGGAAGTTTAGTGTGGGTGGGGGATTGTTAGAACAAGTGTTTACATTGAAGCATATATGTGAACTTATTTAGATAAAGGAAAGGGAAGTTTTATTGCAATTTATGGATTTAGAAAAGGCATATGATAGAGTGGATAGGGAGCAATATGGCAGATGTTGCAAGTATAGGGAATAGGTGGTAAGTTACTGAATGCTGTAAGGAGTTTTTATGAGGATAATGAGGCTCAGGTTATGGTGTGTAGAAGAGGGGGAGACTACTTCCCGGTAAATGTAGGTCTTAGACAGGGATGTGTAATGTCCCCATGGTTTTTAATATATTTATAGATGGGATTGTAAAAGAAGTAAATGCTAGGGTGTTCAGGAGAGGGGTGGGTTTAAAAATTTTTGGGGAATCAAATACAAAATGGGAATTGACACAGTTACTTTTGCTGATGATACTGTGCTTATGGGAGATTCTAAAGAAAAATTGCAAAGGTTAGTAACCAATTTGGGAGTGTGGGTAAAGGTAGAAAGTTGAAAGTGAACATAGAAAAGAGTAAGGTGATGAGGGTATCAAATGATTTAGATAAAGAAAAATTGGATGTCAAATTGGGGAGGAGGAGTATAGAAGAGTGGATGTTTTCAGATTTTTGGGGTGTTGACGTGTCAGCGGATGGATTTACGAAGGATGAGGTTAATCATAGAATTGATGAAGGAAAAAAGGTGAGGGGTGCATTGAGGTATAGTGGAGACAAAAAAACAATTGTCTTGGAGGAAAAGAAGGGAATGTATGAAAGTTAGTAGCACAAAAACTCTTATATGGGTGTAAGCTTGGGTTATAAATGCTGCATTTGAGGTGGGGGTTTTGAGGCAGTGGAGATGTCCTGTCTAAGAGAAATGTGTGGTGTAAATATTATGCAAAAAATTTCGAGTGTGGAAATTAGGAAAAAGGTGTGGAGTTAATAAAAGTATTAGTCAAGGGCAAAAGGGGGGTTGTTGAGGTGGTTTGGTTTTTTTAGAGAGAATGGATCAAAGTAGAATGACATGGAGAGTGTATAATCGGGGGGGAAAGGGAAAGGGCGAGGAAAGGGGTTGTCCTCGAAAAGGTTGGAGGGAGGGGAAAGGAGATTTGTGGGCGAGGGGCTTGGATTTCCAGCAAGTTTGCGTGAGCATGTTAGATAGAGTGAATGGAGAAAAATTGGATTTGGACTAAATGAGCTTTTTGGAGTGTGAGCAGGGTAATATTTAGTGAAGGGATTCAGGGAAACCAGTTACATATAGCCGTGCTTGAGTCCTGGAAATGGGAAGTACAATGCCTGCACTTTAAAGGAGGGGTTTGGGATATTGGCAGTTTGAAGGGATATGTTGTGTATCTTTATACAATATGCTTTTAAACTGTTGTATTCTGATCACCTCTGCTAAAACAGTGATTATGTGTGAGTGAGGTGAAAGTGTTGAATGATGAAAGTATTTTCTTTTTGGGGATTTTCTTTTTTTCTTGGGTCACCCTGCCTCGGTGGAAGATGTTAAAACAAAAAAAAAAGTTTTTTTTTTTTAACACAGCCGTTTCCCACTGAGGCAGGGTGACGTGAAAAAAAAAAAAAACTTTTGTCATTACTCACTCCTTCACTGTAAAGATAGCCTAGCTGTACTATACACTTCATTCTGTGATACCTGGTAATGTGGTTGTTAAATTTGATGTTTACAGGCGAGGGGAGAGCAAGGTGTCCATGGTTGGATGAGTTGTCCACCACTGACTGAGTCACTGCTTACCGAGTCCCTGGAGTTTGCACTTATTTATGCTTGCAAGTCTTATATGTCATGGGATGTACTTGCAAATGTTCTTGCTAAGGTAATTTTTTATATCTTAAGATTGTTATGTTTTTTTATATTTCACATATTTAAAAAGAACATGTCAAAAAATGTCTCCAACAACTCTGAAAAGTCAGAGTATTCAATAATAATATATAGTTTTAGGGACTTTTCATATGTTTGTTGCATGCATCTCAACTAATTAGAGAGGTCAGCATATGGATCTGTTCCATGCCTGCTTGTCAAGATGAAGGAAATTAGATTAATATACATAGTGTGCACTCATACTGTTGTGCTTACTATATTTTTTATAAACATGTTGGCCATCTCCCACCAAGGCAGTGTGATCCAAAAAAGAAACACTGTCACTATCATTCATACACAATCACTGTCTTTGCAGAGGCACTCAGATACGACAGTTTAGATGTCACTCCAAACAGCCAGTATCCCAAACCCCTCCTTTAAAGTGCAGGCATTGTACTTCCCACCTCTAGGACTCAAGTCCAGCTAACCATTTCCCATGAATCCCTTTACAAAATATTACCCTGCTCACACTCCAACAGCTTGTCAAGTCCGAAAAGCCATTCATCTCCATTCACTCCTATCTAACGTGCTCACACATACCTGCTGTATGTCAAAGCCTCCTCCTTGCTGCAGCATTTACAACCCATGCTTCACACCCATGTAAGAGTGTTAGTACCACTATACTCTCATACATTCCTTCTTTGCCTCCATGAATAATGTTCTTTGTCTCCACAGATACCTCAAGCACCCCATCCCTTTTTCCTTCATCAATTCTATGGTTTACCTTGTCCTTCATAAGCCCATCTGCTGACAAGTCCACTCCCAAGTATCTGAACATATTCACTTCTTTCATACTCCCTCCAGTGTGATATCCAATTTTTCTTTATCTAACTCATTTGATACCCTCATCACCTTATTCTTATCTATGTTCACTTTCAACTTACTTCTTTTACACGCCTTCCCAAACCCGTCCACCAACCTTTGCAACTTCTCTTTAGAATCTCCCGAACAGAGCAGTTAATTCTAATATAAACCCTTTTCTCAAAGTCTTCCTTGATAGCTGCAACACAAGTCACAAAAACCTATTTGATAACCCCCATGTCTGACTCAACCTCTAAAAACTGTCAATGATTACTAACAAACTCAACCTTAAATTAAACCTATTGTATATACATGGAGAGATAGACACTTCTTAGTGTATATATTGGTTTAATTTATTTTCTTCAACAGGTTGTATATGGTAGTGTGGTGATGTCTCAGCTTGATCAACAAATCATCAACAGAATATTTACAAATCATTTAAATAATCAAATGTTCCGTAATGTCTCTCAGAACTTAGGTATTCATCAACAAATAAATACTGAATATGGTGAAGAGCATCAGCCAACTAGAGATGAAGTACAGGCATCAGATGATGCAAGACCCATCTTGCTTCATTCATTTCCCAGTGGGGATTTAACTCTTAATCTACAGTTGCCTTCCCATAAAGCTGTAGGTATGTCTATCTCACATTATTCTATGTAAATCAATACAAAGTTATAGTTTATACTCAGATTATATTGAATTTTAATTATCTATATAGAGGAGGGTGTCTTTCATACAGCTCAAACGATAAACAAAAATCACTGGAGGGTGGAAAAGAGATGTACTGTTTTCGTTATCATATGCATCTAAAATGCCTGATAATGTGTTACACTATCATATATTAAGTGCTCAAAACAGCTAGGCATAAAAAAGATAAAAAGTAAAATAAATACACAGTACATACAATACTTACCTAAAATATGGCGCCGGTTGTCCTTCCCTTACGCAACTGTTGTACGAAAATGGCTGTAATGACCCAATTGAAAGCAAACGAAAATGTGAAACACCGAAAAGAGTGAGCTGTATACATGGGGCCCTCCTGTAGCAAGTTGATAATACACTGTTGTGCATTTGTTGGTTATTTAATTTATATAAACGTAAAGAGTTAAAGCTGCAGAATTTGACAATGCTTCTTATTTTGTAACAAGATTCCAATCCTGATGAATTGTTATATTGCTGAGTGTGATATTTCAGTTTGTTTTAAGATTCACGTGTTTGCAGAAAAATTATGTGAACAGGTTGAAGAAAAAGAAGCAACACTGCTGGGATTGAATGCCACCCATCAGCAGACACAACAAACTCATCAGATACTTTGTGCTATGGAAGCATTTACAGACACACCTTGTGGTATGTATATAAGGTTTTAAAATATGTTTTGGCAGGGTTGTTGTGCTTTAAAGGGTTATTTAAGTTTTGATGTTGGTTCACTTCTGGCTTGATTGTTATTGAATGAGTGATGGTGAATGTGGCAGATTTTTGTTTATTTATTTAACATGGAAGGCATATTGATGTGGAAATTCTACATACAGTCATATTGTAAAAATAACATAACAAATTAAAAGGTAAAGCTTCTTACCTTAATAACAAAAAAAACTGAAATTCCACCTATGAAAACCTTGTAATATTTAAAAATTATTGATGGTGTATTGTTTGGTGACTGGGAAAATTGAAAGCTTTGAAAGGTGCACTCATAGTTTCATAAAATATCTGCAAATGCTCTGTATATTTGAAATTCATCCCTCTTGGTTTGCTTACAGTCCCCGTAGCAGCTTGGAGAGTAGTGACAATGATCGATGTGCTTGAGTCTGCCCTGCATGGCCAGGTGAGGGAGGTGGCAGCACAAGTCACTAGGGAGGATGACTTGGAGACTGAAGCTTGGCAACAAGAAGCACATATATGGGACAAAACTTATGATAATGCCAAGAATAAACTGAACCTGATTAAGCAGGTACACTTATGAGGTGAAAGGTTTTATGCTAAAATATATTTCACAGTTCTAACTTTGTGTTTTGGTTTAAATTATTTCCATCTGAAAATCAGAAAAACTTTTCTCAACCAATTGGGTATTTAGTGCCTAATATAATAATCATTCTCACCAAATATGAAGTTAATCATTCTCACCAAATATGAAGTTAATAATCATTCTCACCAAATATGAAGTTTAGCATAAAAACTTTACATAAGACAGATTTTTTTGTTTAATTGGATGTAGTGTAGAACATGAGAAAATGAATGAAATCTCCGTTAAAGATGATGTATATTTTTGCATATAGCTCTTGGTTCATGGAAAATGATATATATGCAAGTAATATGAAAGAAAGTTAGTTGAAGACTGCAGTACTGTGTAAAGAAAGATATGCATTACAGGTATGCAAAACTAACCCACAAATTGATGATGAAACCAGAGCAAAGGCAGCACCGAGGTAAAGCAAGAGATGAAGCCCACAAATCTTACATCAGCCTCCCAAAGCCCCCTAAATAAATAATAATAATAATAATGCTGCCTCAAGATAAGTCCTTTAGCCCAGTCTTCCAACCATCTTACTACTCCTAAACCCCTTTTATATAAAACTTCTGGAGCTATATTAGAGAACATTTCAGACACTTTCTCACAATTGTGACTTAGTTATTGAAAATAGTTTAAAATACCAACAAGTTGAAGATGAAACATCATCTAGTTTCATCTCCAGTTTGTGGGTTAGTTGTGCAGAGCTCCAGCACTGTGATTTAACTTTTACCATTAAGAGTGCGAGTATGTATATTAACCCTTCAACTGTCCAAATGTAGATCTACGTTTGCACCGCTAGCACTCTGAATGTAGCTCTATGTTTAATTTTACATGCTTTCATATGTAAAAAAAAATGTAGATCTGCGTTTGGAGCGCTAGTGGTCCAAACGTAGCCCCATGTTTGGACAGTTTAAGGGTTGAATCAGCATTTTATTACAGGCTGTAATGAATGGAGCAGTTCAACCAGCACAAGCACTTCTGTTACTACTGGACCTTGTGCAAAGATTTCTTTTACATCCTTATACTGCACTGGCTTCTGTACCTCACTGTGAGCAGGGCACTGAAAAGGCTGCCCAAAAAAATATGGTTAGTGTGTGGCTGGCAAAGACAGTAACTGCAGGTGTGCAGCAGCTCGCAGAGGAGTGGAGGAAAAGATATGCACACTTACTCACCTGGGTACGTTATTATCCCACTTTTTCTTCTCTGTAGATGTGTGATTCTTCATACTCTTAAAAAGATACATTCTTTAGATTAGAGTGAGTGGAGCCAAGTGATTTTTAGGGCATTATGTTGTGTTGGAGTCTAAGCATGGTAACATTTTTGAAGAGATTCATGGAATGAGTTAGCTGGACTTGAATCCTGGAGGTGGGAAGTACAGTGCCTGCACTCTGAAGGATGGGTGAGGATGTTGCAGTTCAGAGGCCCAACTGAACTGTGATATCAGCATACTTCTGGCAAGATGGCAATTGAATGAATGACAGTGAATGTGTTTCCTCTTTCTTGGGTTTCCCTACTTCGGTTGGAGATAGCCTGTGTATTAAACATAAAACATATTGTTATGGTCCATGTTAAACAGATTATTATTCACACATAATTTACGTAAATTTCATACATAAATTAATATTTATTTCTGGTTTTCCAAGCAAAAAGAAAGTGATTTTCCTGGAGATGTTCAGTCATTATTTGAGGAATTTTTAAGTTGGTTAGAGAACAGCTGTTGTGGAAGACTTCATAAATTATTTTATTGTCAGCAACATTGTTGTTAAGAGCATAAATGGAAATTTTGAAGTATAGTAGAGGTGGATGACAGTGAGGGACATTTATTTAATAGTGTTTAGAAAGAGGTTTAGTAATAGGCAGTAAAATACATGTTTTAAGAAAAAGTGAATTTGAAAGTATGAGGTATACTTTGTAAAATATACACGGAATGGGTGAGGCTTGAACCTATTGCAGGCGAGTCCTAAAACCCATGGCATACAAGTCCTAAAACCCATGGCATACAAGTCCTAAAACCCATGGCATACAAGTCCTAAAACCCATGGCATACAAGTCCTAAAACCCATGGCATACAAGTCCTAAAACCCATGGCATACAAGTCCTAAAACCCATGGCATACAAGTCCTAAAATCCATGGCATACAAGTCCTAAAACCCATGGCATACAAGTCTTAAACCCATGGCATACAAGTCCTAAAACCCATGGCATACAAGTCTTAAAACCCATGGCATACAAGTCCTAAAACCCATGGCATACAAGTCCTAAAACCCATGGCATACAAGTCCTAAAACCCATGGCAACATCCTAAAACCCATGATACAAGTCTAAAAACCATGGCATACAATCCTAAAACCCATGGATACAAGTTAAAACCTGGCAAAAAATCCTAAAACCCATGGCATACAAGTCCTAAAAACCAAGGCATACAAGTCAAAAACCATGGCATACAAGTAAAACCCATGGCAACAAGTCCTAAAACCCCGGCATACAAGTCCTAAAAAAAAACCAAGGCATACAAGTCTAAAACCCATGGCATACAAGTCCTAAAACCCAAAGGCATACAAGTCCTAAAACCCATCATACAATCTAAAACCATGCATACAAGTCCAAAACCCATGGCATACAATCCTAAAACCCAGGCAAAACAAGTCTTAAAAAAACCCGGCATACAAGTCCTAAAACCCATGCATACAAGTCCTAAAAACCCATGGCAAACAATCCTAAAACCCATGGCATACAAGTCTAAAACCCATGCAAAACAATCCCAAAACCCAGCAACAAGTCTAAAACCCAAGGCATACAAGTCCAAAAAACCATGGGAAAAAACAAGCTAAAACCCATGGCAAAAAAACAAGTCCTAAAAAACCCAAAGCATACAAGTCCAAAAAAACCATGGCATACAAGTCAAAACCCATGCATACAAGTCCTAAAACCCATGCAAAACAATCTTAAAACCATGGCATACAAGTCCTAAAACCCAAGGCATACAAGTCCAAAAACCATGCATACAAGTCCTAAAACCCATGCATACAAGTCCTAAAAAACCATGCATACAAGTCCTAAAACCCTGGCATAAAGTCTAAAAAAACCCATGCAAAACAAGCAAAAACCAGCATACAAGTCCTAAAACCCAAGAATAGCTTTGCACATGATTTTTAAGCAGCATAAGGTTGTCTAAGACACTCCATTGTAGGAGCTATAAAAGAAAAGTATCATGCAAATGAGACATTCCCATTAATTAAAAACAATTGTTAATTTTTTAAATGGTTGAACTACCCCATTTGTAAATTTAGCTACCCACTTAATACCAGTATGATCATAACCTGTGTCAGTTTAAAAAATCAAAAAAATAGTATTAGGCTGCCTGAAATGCTTGGCATACTAGTGCCTTATTTGTAATAAGGCTTTATTTTATGATTACTTATATGAATATGTAAACCACACATTGAACTAAACAAAAAATAAACATTTGAATTTGAAAAAAACCTAAAACCATGGCAGACGAAAACCTAAAACCATGGCAGACGATTCTAAAATCCATGGCAGAAGAGTTCTAAAATCCATGGCAGACGAGTCCAAAAAACCATGGCAGACGAGTCCTAAAACCATGGCAGACAGCCTAAAAACCATGGTAGGCAAAATCCTAAAACCACAGACCCATTCTATGATTTGTTTACAGCTGTTTTACAATTTCACGAGTTGAATTATGTACAAATCAAACCACAGAATGGTGGGGTGTAACTCATGGCGAGCGAGTCAAAACTCCAGCCATGTGTAAGTCACTGGTTCAAACCCCACCAGTTCGTGTTGTTTGCAATCATGTATTGTGATTTTCGTGAAGTCATGTAGAAGAAACTGTTTGCTAGACTAAGCACGTGGATAAAAGGTTTAAATAAGAATTCAGGAAACTTGTAAAAGTACATAATTTAATAACACGGCTGAAAAGTTCCCCAATGAGGTCCAATAAGTGTGTCATTGTAGTAATATTAGCACCAATTGTTCCACACACAATGAGACCCACCATGATGACATCTGGACTGATGGCTGCACCCATTGGTGGCTTAACGAAATCCGCCAGACTGTGTGCCGCCGTGCCACGGCTCCTTCTGCTCCTTGGTGTATGCCACAACTGCATCGAAAAGCCCAGTGAACACCTCCCCAAGGTACAGTTTTTTTACCTCTCTGGGTTCATTGAGCTTTACTAGAACTAACGTGTGTGTTGTGTGTGTGTGTGTGTGGGGTGTGTGTGTGTGGTGTGTGGGTGTGTGTGCTTGCTTTCCATGTCTTTTTAATGTCATATCTCGTTTTATTTCATTAAACCTGTTAACATGGTACAGTTGTTTTAATTTTTTATTAATTTAGTTAGCACTGTTGAATGTCATTTGCTATATCTTTAGATATTAAGTCTGGTCTATTTTTTCATAACTATGCCTATTCTTTCAATAGATTCGAGGATGCTGCTATTTAGTCTTTTAGGTGTGATTTGTAGTATTGTGTTTAGAGGACAGTACTTATTGTTGAGACTTTTAAGTTCTTGTGGAAATATTTGATCATTATTAAATTCTCCCTGCTGCTGTAAAGTTATTCACTGACATCTCATCATTGAATCTAAATGTGATATTACTTGTTCCTAGTGGCAATTTTTAAATGGCGATAAGAAAGGCAGTTTGGAGGGATATGTTGTGTATCTTTATACGTATATGCTTCTAAACTGTTGTATTCTGAGCACCTCTGCAAAAGCAGTGATAATGTGTGAGTGTGGTGAAAGTGTTGAATGATGATGAAAGTATTTTCTTTTTGGGGATTTTCTTTCTTTTTTGGGTCACCCTGCCTCGGTGGGAGACGACCAACTTGTTGAAAAAAAAAAAAAAAAAAAAAAAAAAGAAAGGTGGGATAATGTTTGGTCATTCTGTCAGTGATGATGTCTGTTTTTTGAGCCGCTAACATATTGGTCAAGACATGATCTCTAGATGAAGCAATGGTCTTGGTAATCCTTGTAGGTTTGGTTATTGGTGGTATTAATAAACAATTGTACATATTACTGAGGAAGCACACTGCTATTATTTTTTTTTATCTCAGTGGTCATCCCTCACCATGGCAGGTGTTTTATTTGAATCCACTGATTTAGGTGTAAGTACTTATTTGACTTGACTAGTGCCCTATGTCACATTCTAAATACTGTGTATTAGGCCCAAATAAATTGAGATTATATTCATATATATATATTATATGTTTCCCTCAGCTTGTTTCATAGGTTAATATGCACTTTAAAATTTCATTTGTTTTGAAGGTGTAGTGGCTTGTGTGTTGATATTCTAATGTCTTTCAGGGTGTGTTTGTTGATGGCATCAAGCTAGTAGGAGGCTGTTGGACAGGGAGCACAGCAGTACCTATTAAGTACAACATACAAAACTATCCTATTATTCTCTCACTTTGTGTTTCTCACTCTGCACCACCTATCCCTGTGGTAAGTGTATCACTAATACATAAACAACAACTTGAAAGTGGCTAGAGCAGCTCCATTTATAAAGGGATTCAGGGAAAATCAGTTAGCCCTACCAGAATCCTAGTTGACTTTTCCTGCCATGAGGCAGGAAAAGTCAACTTTCAAGGTAAAGAAATTGTTGGGATATTTGTTGTTTGGGGTGACAAGTGAGCTGTTGTATCTGTGCATCGCTGCAAAGACAGTGATATGTGCACATGATGATGAAAGTTTTTTTTTTTTTTTGTCACCCTGTCTCAGTGGCAGACATCAACCACCCAGGGAGAGGGTACTACTGTCCTGCCATATAACCATAAGATGCAAACCTGTATTTTGTTTTACATGATGGTAGGAGTGTGTGTGTCTTTTTTTTCTGTCTCATAAACAACAAGATAACATGTATATCTTGCTACTTTTATTTACACTTAGGTCACACTACACATGCATGTACACATTTATGTATACTCACTCATCTGAGTTTTATTTTTTCTTAATAGTTCTTGTTATTATTATTTCCTTTCATCTCCATGCAGAAGTGGAATAAGAATCTTTCCTCTGTAAGCCGTGTTGTGTTGTAAAAGTCAACTAAAATGCCAGGAAGATCTTCCAGCAAGATAGGGTGACCTGAGAAAAGGAAACACATTCACCATCATTCATTCAGTAGGTGTCTTTCCAGAAGTGCACAGACATTACAATTCAGATAGTCATCTGAACTGTAACATCTCTGCTGTCCTTCATGGTTGCCACAGAAGACCAATTTCAAAATTCCTTGACATTTTCTTGACAAAATTAAATAAATATTTTTTTTGACAGTGTTTCCCTCCAACATTCTCATACAGCATGATTTTATATATGTATATTATACAGTAGACTAGGGGTGGTCAATATTTAAACATACTTATAAAATTTGTAACCTCAAGTTAAAGTAGGCATTGTGATGAATGGTTTGAAAAACCGACAAGTTGAAGATTGAGACACTTATGCAGCATATGGGAATCTTTATTCAGGAAACGTTTCGCCACACAGTGGCTTCATCAGTCCAATACAAAGAGGAAGGCGTAAGGAGAGGAGGAGTATGAGGTAATCAGTCCCTCAGCCTGGAGTCGATGTGTTCAGTCCTACAAGATTGATGGACTGAACACATCGACTCCAGGCTGAGGGACTGATTACCTCATACTCCTCCTCTCCTTACGCCTTCCTCTTTGTATTGGACTGATGAAGCCACTGTGTGGCGAAACGTTTCCTGAATAAAGATTCCCATATGCTGCATAAGTGTCTCAATCTTCAAAGTAGGCATTACAATTTACAGTATTATTTCACAGATATCACTTTGTGATTGTTAATACTATAATAAATATTTTGTTTTCCAATCTAATCAGTAACTTCCCTTTCCCAGTTTAATAAATTGCCTTTTAATGTGTTATTTTTTAATATTTTCCCATAAGAACATAAGAATGGAGGAACACTGCAGAAGGCCTACTGGCCTATGCAAGGCAGGTCCTTATCAAAACGACCTCTACCCAAAGCTACCCAAGAATTTACTCCCGTACCCAATGGCACCAATCAAACCCAGCCCCTCATTGGATAGTTTGTGCATTTATTGTTTTAATAGAGGTTGATATAGAGTTAATAATATTTTCCATTAATAAATTTTAAGAAATTAACAAAATAGCAACAAGGAGAAATGTTGTGTGGGATCCCTGACATGGCAGGACCTACTGGAAAGTTAGAGGGAAGGCTTGTCCATTAACATAATCTTCAGCAATTAAAACAGAAAGTTTGTTAATTATTGCTTGGTCTTTTTCCCTTTCTCCCAGATCTTTCTCATATTAATTTTTTTAACACACCAGCTGTCTCCCACCAAGGCAGGATGACCATAAAAAGAATTAGGGTTTCCTTTTTTAAATTCAGTAATGTATACATGAGAAGGGATTTAGCCCCTTGCTCCCTCTTAGGTTCATCTTTACGCATTTTTGTATATATTGTAGTAATAATAATGCACTTTTCTCTCTACACAGGGACATGAATGGGTTCCAGTTCTGGAGGAAGCTACATCAAACCATCCACTCTTCCGTGCTTTATTGCCGCTCCAAGAAACCTTCACTTCCTCCACACCTCTCTACCTCTTAATCCACTAATCACTTAGCCACATAAATGAAATAGCTTGTATTAAATACCTGTAATTAAATCTCATAATATTGCATTGTAAAAACTAGGGTATGCCAGTATGCAATACATAATAAATATATACAGTATTAGAGTACATACTGTACAGTTTGCTGCACATTCTGGCAGCTGAGACTTCTTGAAATTGAGCACAGAATTCCACTTCAGGTTAAGGCTTCCATCCACCCAAAGGTATATTTGTCTTTCTTTTAACCCTTTCAGGATCAAGACCCCTGATCTCAAACTTGCTTTCAGGGTTGAAGAATTTTAAAAAAATATATATACAGTATATAAAATGATAGAGAATCTTTTTCTTTTTTTAGCCAGTTTCACATAATTAAAAAATTGCCAATTTAAAAATAAGGTCCAAAATAAACAATGTAGACATTCCTGGCACTAAAAAAACATTTCATCTGTTAGTTATATCCCCAGGCCTCTCCTATATTATGCTTGCTTTCCATTTTGAATTTTTATTCATACAAAAAATAGAAGATTAACTGTTATGGAAACTACTATATTATTGTAATAATTGCATAAATAATGTCAGTGCATTTGTAGACACGTATTAGACTGACCAGTTGGATGCATATTGGATGAGTGACTTAATTTATGTACGTACTCTAGAATATCGGCAAAAAATCACATTGAACATTTCTGCTACTTTGAGCTCAATTTAAAGCTACTTTCAATCCTGAAACTAATCAGAATCATCTCTTTTTCTGTGATATATCTTCCTTTCTATCAAATAAGACCAAGAAACCGAGAATACAACCATAAAAACTATACAAAAATACACTGCAAAGTTATTGTTTTAAACCAAAAACATTGTCACAGTTTTTTCCCATTATGCAATGCTTGCTGCAGGATTTCTTTTTATATGGTGCACACTTACTGCATAGACCTATTCTGTCACTCATAAGCTGTGAGCTTATCTGAGTGAGCTGAGCTCGAGGTGTAGTACTGCAAGACCGATCCCATTAGTCTGTAGAAACCTGCACTGTGGTCTCAGTGGGACCCTTACTAACATTCTTATGGTATATAGAAACACATCTAGTTGGATGAATCTGATTTGGCCAACATAGCGCAGTGTATAACAGTGTGGCTCTTAGTTTTAAAGCTGGCTTTCCACGAGTTTGAGCCCTCCATACAGCAATTCATTGGCAATCACATCATTGTGATTTTGCAAGCCATTCTTTCCTCCTACAAATGTGTAATCACAACCAATACTATTTGATAAACATGTAAATGCCAATATGATTTTGTGAGCCAGTCCCTGGACCCATTATGTACCTCTGTAATCCTTTGACTTCCACTCACAAGATAGGTATGGGGTGCATAAAAGATATTAAACTAACTGAAGTAAAAGTTACATCAGTGTAAAGTTGTGTGGAAAACAGTTGTTACCTTAATAACAATTTTTTTTTTTTTTTTTTTTTTTTAAAAAATATTA